GTAAAATATAGTGTAAGTCGACATCTTCAAAATCACTTTTGTATCCTTATTAAAATTTCGATGAATCTAAATTCAAATTTTGCTCAAATGAAAAAAAATTTAAATCCACTTTTTATCTCTTGTATATTTTTTTTTTTTACATTTTTTATCGAAAAATGCAATTTACATTTCATTAACATATTTTCATTAAATTGGTTTTCGAAAATTTTATAGATCTAAATACCATTGGAGATGTTCTTATTAACAAGTTGTACACACATCATCGACTCGAAAAACCCATTATGTTTTGGGATGTTTGGTGAGAGGAGCTCCCATGTTCCATTCCGAATAAGGGCATTTATATATATCACACATGGCTGCTCGCCATTTAGTTACCTGAATTACAGTGGTGGGTTCAACTTGTTTGAGGAACAATAAGTGAAAACAACCAAAAATCAATGCCCAGTAAACGGGCATGGCGGAATATTAATGTCGAATCTACTTTCACCTCAACGCCTACTCAACCTTCTGCAGCGTTTCACCAAATACTCAAACCAAGTTGAACAAATCCATTCATTGTTAACCACCAATGGCTACTTCCATATTGCCGATCAATGGATTAATACTCTGCTCTACAACACTCTCATCAGAGCCTACTTGAACCTCCGTCAACCCCGCACCAGCCTCCTGCTCTTCACCCACATGCTTCACCACCATTCCCCACCCAATAACCATACTTTCCCTTCTGTCCTCAAAGCCTTAACCTCTGTTTCATCGGCCCATTTGGGCTTTCATATGTGTTGTTCCTTTCATGGACAGGGTGTTAAAAGAGGGGTAGTTGATGATCCTTTTGTAGAAACTTCTTTGATATCTGTCTACTCGCAAATGGGTGATTTGAGTAGCGCGTATAAGATGTTTGATGAAATGCCTGAGCCATGTATTGTTTCGCAGAATGCGATGCTTGATGCTTTTGGGAAAAATGGGGAGATGGGATTGGCTGTTTCGACGTTTTCAGGTATGGCGGAGAGAGATGTTTACTCGTGGACGAGTGTTATCAGTGGGTATGCAAGAAACGGGTGCTTTAGGGAGGCTATTGGGCTTTTCGGAAAAATGATGGTTCATGAGGATGTAATCAGTGGCTATTTAAAGCCAAATGAGGCTACATTTGTCAGTGCTCTCTCCTCATGTGCAAATCTGGAAGATGCCTTCTCGTTGAATCAAGGGAAACAAATACATGGATATATGATTAAGATCGAGAAAGAATTGAGTGTTTTTATAGGCACGTCGTTGATAGCATTCTATGGTAAAATGGGTTGCTTGGTCTATGCCATGAATATGTTTAATTATATGGCTGTAAAGGAGGTGTGCACTTGGAATTCTATTATTTGTTCACTGGCATCGAATGGCATGGAAAGGCATGCCTTAGACATGTTCGAGAAAATGAAGTCTCAAGATTTGCAGCCAAATGAAGTCACGTTTGTTGGGGTCCTATCAGCTTGTGCTCGTGCCAAGTTTGTGGACTTGGGTTTGGCATTGTTTCATTCAATGTCAAATGACTTTGGCATTGCTCCAAAAATGGAACACTATGGATGTGTAGTTGATCTCTTGGGAAGAGCCGGGCTTTTGGAAGAAGCATACAAGTTTGTAAGAAGCATGCCTTTCGAGGCCGATGACACTGTGTTGGGGGCTTTATTGAGTGCTTGTAGACTTCACGGGGCTGTCGATTTGGGGAATGAAGTAGGAAGACGATTGCTTCACTTACAACCTTATCATAGTGGACGGTATGTGCTTTTATCTAGCCTTTTTGCCGGAGCAGAGATATGGGCTCGTGCTGCTGAGTTTAGGAAAGCAATGGTGGATGCTGGAATTCAGAAAGTTCCAGCCTTTAGCCTGGTAAATTGAATGTAGAAATTCTGCAGTGGCTGTCACCATTTATTGAGATACAGGAATCGCTATGGAAAACATAGCAGGAGTTGAAACCATGGAAGAATATTCATAAGATAACCTCGTGCTTGGTGAATTTTGATGTCATCCTTCATTCCACTTACTGATGAGTTGCACGAGTCTCTCCGGCTTGGAGTAGTAGTTGGCGGTAATTTCAAAGAGAAGGTCGAAACAGATTGAATCTCATCACTTGTACAAAATTAATCAGTATCAAAGCGATTTGCTAACTCCTTGACAGAAGGGATAAGCGGTGATGGCAATCGAGCCGAGCGGCTCGTCGGCTCGGTCGCTCGGCTCGTACTGTAGCGATCCACGAGCCGCTCGGGCTCGTCAAAAAACGAGCCCGAGCTCGAGCCGAGCGGACCCGTTCATAGACGAGCCGAGCTCGGCTCGGCNTAAAGGTTTAGAAAATGTATAGTAAACACAAAAATAAAAAAATACCTGAGCCGCGAGCTAAAGCTCAGCCCAGCCCATGAGCTGCCTACAGCCACGAGCTCGTGGGCCGAGCCGAGCTCGCCCACGAGCAAACGAGCCACGAGCTCGGCTCGTAGGGCAACGAGCCGAGCTCGTGGGGCAATGGGCCGAGCCGGCTCGGCTCGGCCCATTGCCACCACTTGAGTGAGCCAGTTTAATAAATGCCTACATGTACTTTGGGGCTTGATGAACAATTTACTTAAAATCTGTGTAAAAATGAGAGGGAAATTTCAAGAGAAGCAAAGGCACACGGTGTTTCAGCAAATTTGGTCGCTCCATTTGCAGCAGAACCACTCTGAAGTACAGACATTGTAGCCACACGATATCTTACTTGTACAGAAAAAGTGATTGAGAAGTCAAGAAGGGATTCCAAAAACAATTATTTGAAATTGATATAGTTGGGTGGTCGATGAGAAGCACAGTGTTACACAATTTATATTACGATCATGAATAAAATTATTTATAAACAATGTACCCTTATACTTAAAAGGTTTTATTAATGACTATTTCACTATTTGGGTTAACATTTTGTCTTCATCTCGCAAATAGTTTAATGGTGACTCTAGTACACTTGAAGTTTATCGAACGGACCATGTGCTCAAGTTTAATTCCACAACATTACTATACACTTGATCGTCAAATATTTTATCTAAATCTCATGACAAAATCTTTAATTTAGTTTAATAATTCTTTTGATTTATCAATACGTGATATTAAATTTGACTGATCAAGTACCTTGGTGACTTGTGAAATTGAGAACGATAAAAGTAGAGAATATGAATATCAATAAGTCTATTTGTACATAAAAGGTTGACAACCTCTCACATGTGTGAGCCTCTCACATGCGAGAGGTCCGCATGTTTAAAAAATTCAAAAAATCAATAAGTCTATTTGAACATAAAAGGTTGACAACCTCTCACATGTGTGGGCCTCTCACATGCGAGAGGTCCGCATGTTTAAAAAATTCAAAAAAAAAAAAAAAAAAGTGGACCCCTCCATTATGAGTGTATGTCAACCTGTGTGTCAACATTTAGTTGTACAAATAGCATTGCTATATGAATTTATATCGGGAACCGTCGCCCTGAAAATGGGTCGAGTGATTACTTAAATATTTTTCTGTTGAAATGATTATAAATTTAAGTTCAGCATTTAGTGAAAGTTATATTTCGACATTTGTTATTGATTCATATGATCATTGAAGAAAACGCAAGTTAAATTAATGAGAATAATTATAGGGACAAAAAGGTCATATATGCCCTTACCTAAATATCGGATATTAGATGGGAATATAATACATACAGTAGGTCAAATAAAAATTGCTAACTCAATTGCAATTATTCTGAAAGTTTTGAACGAAATTGAAATTGAAATAAATTATAGGGACTACTCTTGCAATTAAACTAGTTGACTTGCTTGGATTGAAATTTCTTCCTCTACAATTCCATGTAGTCCAGAATTGACTATTGAGTTTTTGATATACACCAGTTGAAAGTTGAGAGCTTCATATTATTGGACAAGCTTAAAATCAAATTAAAATTAAAAATATAATCGTTATTAGTCTCACTCGTCTAATAAAAGTCAATAATAACGGTTAATTTTTCAATTTTAATCCAATTTTAATCTCTACCTAATACGCACTTAATTAAAAGTTGGAAGTTTTGAATTAAAAAGTTGAAAAATCGTAATTCAAATTGAATATCAATTTGATAATTTATAAGTCAACATTTGACAAATAATCCAATTGATTAAGCTTATGTTTGGTAGGGTTTAAAATTCAATTAAAATTGAAAATATAGTCGTTATTGTGTCTCACTCGTCTAATAAAACTCAATAATAACAGTTAATTTTTCAATTTTAATCCGATTTTAATCTCTACCAAGCACACACTAAATTTTATTGTGGAAAAACATAACCAAATAAAATATGTTCCAAACCCTAAACAACACAATCAACATAATGATAAAACTAAAGTAAATGATGAAAATAAAATCTCTAGTCACGTTACATCGAATTTTATTTATTAAGTCGAATGAATCCAAGTATAATGACGCATCTCATCACCTGCCAACCATGACCCGTTCTAACATGTGAGAGATAGGCAAAATTGTGAATATATGAGAATACTCAGTAGGACACGAATAATGGCGCAATCNCTTTTACTCTCTCTCTCTCTCTCTCTCTCTCTATATATACATATATATATATATATTTATTTATTTATTTATTTATACATATGTGTGATTTTTGGATGTTTTGGATCGGTTGACTTTTCGTTTATTCTTGGAACAGGATTTGATGGCTAATTATTGCTATCATATAATTTTAATGCCTATTTATTTTTGCACATATTTTTGCTGATTGATTGGGAGCCTTGTCCGTATGAAAATGGGAAATCGATTCAACCCGTATCCAATTTTCCCCAATTTTATTTTACCTCATTTTTCGAGAAGTGAACGCACTTTAATTTGAAGACCTTTTGTCATAAAAAGTAGTAGTTTTGATAAGACTTTGAAGAAGTAGCGCTTCAATATAAAAGAGGTATAAATTGTTAACATATATGCGTTCAAATGAATTTAATAGTTCACCTGAATTAATGTCTTTGTCCATTATGGTAGTTTTGAAAAATGATTTTAACATAGAAAATTTGGGAAAGGTAATGAGTAGATTATGTTAACTTCCCCTAAATTTATTTTCACAATTCGGATTTTTTTCTCAATTTTTTGATCTTCTCTTGCTGAACCTCAGTTCCTCTAACTAATTGAGGATGTGGGCATGTGTCTAAAATTTGTTGATTGTCTCTTCCACTGACGCTCCAATATGAGCTGATGTAGTGCATGGTAAATACTTTTTTCATCTTTTTTTTTGGTTGTTAGGAGCTTTGCTTCTATTTTGTTAAATACTAAGTTGCGCCGTTTCATTGCAGTTCTTTTTCTCTCACGTCCGGTATTCCTCTATGCTATTAGTTAGTTTTGTGGCACTTACTTTCATCTTGAAAAGCTCTTGAAGTGAACATTCATTTTTTTTTTAGTTCATTTTTGTGTTCTGCTAAATCAGTGTTGTCAGCCTCTGTCTCCTTTAACATTCTGCTCAGTTTCTTTTTTTGTTTTGATTGTTTCTATGAACCGGATTGTGAACTTTGTGCATGACTATGCACTTGGCTCTCATTCCTTAATCTAATGTTGATTTCTGGCCCTGAAAGGGAAAATATACTTACTCCATGATTTTCAAAAGTAGATAATTCAGTCTCTTTGTGTGCATAGAAACTTTTGGAAAGAGGGCTCCACATCGAACACAACTTGAATGGAGGAGATTCAGCTGTATACCAACTGGGATGATGTCATTTGTCCCATATGCTTGGACTTTCCTCACAATGGTGTTCTCCTCCAATGTTCATCATATGAAAAAGGATGCCGACCTTTTGTGTGTGACACTGACCATTTACACTCAAATTGTCTGGATCGTTTTAAACAAGCAAGTGGGGTGCTATCCGATTCTCAATCACCAAGTTCTTCTGAGAACGTTAACTGTATGAATCTGGTGTCGGACAGCAAACCAATGTGTCCCTTGTGTAGAGGTGAAGTTACTGGATGGGTAGTTGTTCATAATGCTCGTGTATATTTGGATGAGAAGAAACGTTGTTGTGAAGAGGGAAAATGTGGATTCATAGGCACCTACCTGGAACTTCATAAACATGCACACTTAGAGCATCCTCAATCGTGCCCTTCAAAGATCGATCCTGCACAACTGCTTGATTGGGAGAATTTCCAGCAATCCTCTGAGATCATAGATGTGTTGAGCACTATCCATTCAGAAGTCCCTCGTGGGGTTGTTCTGGGTGACTATGTGATAGAATATGGGAATGATAACTCTGGTGATGAATTTGATGACTTCCCTGGGGATGAAGGGAACTGGTGGACATCTTGCATATTGTATCAGGTATTTGAAAACTTTAGGATGTCTAGAAACAGAAGAAGATCGAGAGTTGGTGATTCCAGAAGAGGAACCCGTCATTTGAGTTATGATACTTCTAACTCTGATGAGAGTTCTGTAACATCTGTAGAATATGCTGACTATATAGCAGATGAGGCTGATGATGCGTTTGGAAGTGCAAGTGGACTCTCGAGGGGAAGAGCAGATCAACACCGGTGAGTGACTACTATGGTATATGTGCCTATAGGTTTCTCTTTTAATGATGTTCCATCATTTATTCTTGTGGATCCATGATTAATAAGTCTTTCTTAATCTTTGGTTACATTTGCACTGTCTACATAAGCTGTAAAATGACCTCCTTCCAAAACACACACACACACACAAGAATAGTTGTAACTTGTAAGCTTTTACTAATAGCTACAGTAGGTAATTCGGTGCTTAGTTATGTTAAGCACGGATGACATGGCACGTCAATTCATTGGTGGATAAGTTTATGGTTGGTCTTAATTTTTGATATAAATTTGTCATTCACCTTATGATTGGTGTGCCATTGCATATATATTTTTTTGATAGATCCATCCCATTATTATTATTATTATTATTATTATTATTTTATTTTATTTTTATTTTTTTAAAAACATTCACACAAAATAATAAAAAAATACACACAAATCACACAAAATAACAAAAAATAAATATTAGGCAATTATATAATTTATAATATTTTTACTTTTTTTTTTTTTAAATTTTTAATTTTATTTTTTATTTATTTTCCTTTTTCGGTTATGGGCTCATATTTATGTTAGTGTGGCCATATTGCATTGGTTCATCAATGTTCCAAAATGGCAGGAGGGGGAGGAACGTCTATTTTAAGTTAAATATTGTTTTCTGATAAATATATTAAAAGTTGAATTTGCACATGAATATGAATCAATTGATTCGGTCGTCTTCATTGCATATCTCTTGGGGGTATATTTGGATAGAAAAATCATTAATTTATTGGCATGGGATTAAGAGAACCATTAAGACTTAATTAAACCAAAACACCTTCTAATCCGATCTCCCAGGATCCTTATTAACTAAAATTTTGCTTATAATTTTGGGGAACGAATAATCATTTAGTCCCCTCTCCAAACAAGACATATAAGGAGACCACCAACAGTAAAACAATTAGTGAATATTTTAGACTATTAAATTTTGCAGCTCAGTAGATTTGAATTTTCATTTTTCTTTTTCTAAATTTTGTGAGACCAGTGAAAATTCTTTAATTTAACCAAATTAGATTTTGCCTTCAAGGAACAATGTTATTGTTACTATCTCCCTGTTTGGTGGAAATTAAAATCAGATTTTTAGTAGATTTGATAAAGGTTGATGAAATGTGTGGACGAAAAGTTGCAAGTCTCATAAAATTTGTGGTTAAAATTAATTGTTGACTTTGACTTAGATTAAAATTTGAATTTTAATTTCTACCAAACAGGGGCATCTTTGTAAGTCTTTTTATTTCTTTGATAATTGAGGAGTTTCCAAGTTACGGTATCCCATTATCCCGATAGAGCCTCCTACATAAAATTGTTCTTTCTGATTTTTATGCAATGAAGCCTAGGAAATCCGACTACAATAATTTAGTTAGGAGATGGTATTAAAGTGATTTATATGCTTCAACAAATTTTTTCCCGTTTTGCAAATTCCTCTAGTAAAATGTCAGAAAATGAAAGTCATTTTGCTCTTATGTTTTAACTTTTCTCCTTCAAAATGCATATATGCCAAACACAAGCAAGAAGAGTTAAAATATGTCTATCTGGATCATTTCCATGTAATGTAGTATGGGCACAAATTTGTGGTTCACTCTTCTAAGCACATGATAGATGACTAGATGACAAGGTATAAATCAATTGATTATTTTTTTCCTATCGTTTTTTTATCACTTGAGTCTTACTTTCTGATTCCAGTATACATTGTTTCTCACAGTTCTCGAAGGCGTCATTCACGCTTCTATGACCATTAGGTATGCATCATCCAGGATGCTCTGCAGTCTCTTTACAGGTTCTATCTACTGTAAAATGGAACCTAGCTTGTGAAATTAAATTTTATTACACTGTAGGTATCACCTTTGGAACTTTTGTATGTTAAATTTGTTCTAAAACTCAACATTCTGGAGATGATTGAATATTTAGCTTCATTATTATGTTTATACATGTTCGCGTAATTCATTATGTTTCTTCATATGACAGGATAGAATTAACTGAAACCCATGAATGGGAGGAACGGCTTACAACTGGTGGACCACCAGAAACTCAATGGCACTGCGCGCTAATGTTATTTAAATTTCTTGGATTGACATATCTAATCAAATTCTCTGTTTTTTCATGATAAATTGCCCCCTTTGCCCCCCATATGTCTTTTTTCTTCCTCTATGGAGGTGGTTTGATCTTTGGAATTTATGCGGTTCTTCCTGTTAATATCGTGTTGGAAGACTGCTTTTGATTTCTAAATAATTGAAGCGGACAAGTTATCTGGTGTAAGCTTGTTCTTTACATACGATAGAATGGCTTCGATGAAACAGTCATAGGTTGGGGAATCTTGTTTTCTGCATGTACGCGTCTACTCAAGTAGTTATTTTGCTATGAAAGTTTTAGATGAATCGACATATACTGCATTGAGTATGTTTCGTTAAGTTTTTTTGTAGATTAAAAGTTCTGGGTCTTAAAAGAATATGTGGATTATAAGTGGATCATAAGAAATGTATTCAGAACTTGTACAAACTTCCATATGGCAGTGCCAAAAACCAAGAAAATAGAAGTAAATATAAATAAGAAATCAACTCGGGAAGGGCTGGAATTACTGAAACACACAAACATTCAACCAGAAAAGGTGAGAACGATGGAGGATTTGAATTTGCTGAAGGCAGCTAGTGAGTATGATGTACAGTTTTCACCGAACAGCCTATCCGAGGATTTATGATTTGCTAAGATTTGGCAATAAAAGGTGCAAAATAAATGAAAGATTGTTCAACAAATGCATTTTATACACGAGGAATCATCCCGTCACCCACATCTAGTCTCCATTGTTGACAAAGATAATGATGACTAAGATGGGACTGCCGATGCTTTGCAAATGGGGCACCAATTCTTCAGCTGCAGCCACTGGTGTATGCACGTTACATGGTACTGGTGCTGGCATTCCACCAACTTCTCGGTCTCGTCTCCTAAGACATACTCCTCCTACACAAGATGTATCGGTTCATATATTTTTCCGGAGGTTTGGGGACAGGTAAGCAGGCAAAAATTCATATAACTAAAACCTAGATCAGTAGTAGTAAACATTCTTGACAAATATAGAAAACCTGACAAATACTGCATTTGATGTCGTCTACATCCTTGCTTGATCCCTTGACTTTTTCGTCCGAGAGGCCACCATGATAGATGCTTCTCACGAGGCATTTCGACAATTCCTCTTGTGATACTGCTGTGCTCACCGTACCCATACACTCCTCAAGAGCTAATAATTCCTGTCAGACGAGCATCTGCGAATGTCATGAAAAAAAACTGCACGAGATACCAGAGCACACATGGCCGGCCTAATTATCTTCTAAAACAAAAAAGAACTCCCAACTTTCTCTTCAAGAAATCTCGATTAATAGAGCAGATTTAAGCCTGTTTGGCACGCTTCTGAAAAGCCAAAAAATTGTTTCTGAGACCAAGAAACCTGCTTTTGAATATGTTTGGATAATTTTTTGAAAGTACTTTGTCGCATTAAAACTTTTAGAAGAAGCTTATCAAGATAACTTCCTCGTAAAGCTCTTCAACAAAAAACACAAGTTATCCTAAACAGACCCTTAGCAAGAGTAACAAAAAGAAAAATGGTGACCTACAATGATTTTCCAGAGAGAAAAGAAAAGTATTTTGAGAAAAAGCAACATTCAAATAATAAATTTCCCCAAAGAAAGATAGCCAAAATTCAAATTTCTTTTCAAGAAATGTAAATTATGAGAGCAGAGTTAGGTCGGAGTAAACTCAAATTGTACTAAAGGAAAAACGACAAATAATAGAAACTTAAGGTTCAAGTCATCAAACCATCATACGAGATTAAGATAATAAAACCTCATAAGACATGTTGTCAATATCCAGTCTCATGTCGTGATGCTGGTCATATAGGTTGAGGCCGCTAATGATTAAACTGGTCTCAAAGGCAAGTACTTGCTGTAGACAGAGACGAAGAGTCAATTATTAAACTCCAGTTTGCAGATATTAAAGAGCCATAACAAATTAATTACCTCACGGGTCAGCGGTTCGTCTTGTCCAATCCTCTCAAGTGCTAGTAATATCTATACCATGAGAGAGTATACAATATATAACTATTTGTCGAGGCAGCCATACAAAACATAATTCCATCATAAGCCCACAAACTGAATCAAAAATGAATGTTGAAATGAAATGTGGATGATACCTCAGCAACTCCATCCATGTTATGTAGCTGCAATGCGTCATTCACTAAACCGGTAGTGTCAAATCCCATAGAAGTGGAAGTCATTAGACTGGATAGATTATCACCACTATTGCTGGAAAGGCTGTAAGAACTCTGACCACTTGATGAACCATGGTCGTCAACATTAATAGGTGTTTCAGGCTGATAAAATCGGGAAATGTTTCCACTATGCTGATTAGAAAGCCTAGCCCTTGAATTTCTGTTGGTTGGCCTCTGAGTCCTAACGGATGCAGCACCACTCACATCCTCTTGGGGAGTCCAACTGCCATGTCTTGAATCAGATATAGAGATGCCATTAGTTGAACGGGAGTCACGTCCATTAAAGGATAATGCTGTATTTGTTTTCTTCCATCCACAAGATGAACTACTTTCCCCTTCTGAACTTCTCTTTTTCATTTCATCCTTCCTACTAGACTGTGATTCTGATGATGAGCAACTTCGTCGAACGTCATCAGATATTGAATTGCATTTCAGATTTCTCAAACTGCACCTGCTCCTGTTACCACTATTACATGCCCCTAGGCCAGAGATTTTAGGTACCGACGGGACAGAGGAAGCTGGCAGTGTGTTTTGTTTGATTGACCCTGATTTACGATGAAATACTTTTTGAGATCTAATGTTTGATGACACACTAGAACTCCCTATTTCTGATTTGCTCGAAGTACTACTTTCCGATGAATCAAATCCTACACGAGAAGACTTAGGATCGATGTAAGATTTTTTCGCACTGGTCATCATAGAACAAGTCCTAGAGGTATTTCTGGTTATCTCCTTTCCATTTTCCAAAGAAGGCTTAGCACATTTGGCTTTATCCAGGATTCCAATTTTGGTATTCTGACTGTACTTAATTCTGCCGCTACATCCTATTCGATTACAGAACTGAGCATTTTGATCCCTGTCACTCGCTCTATCTTTCAAGTTGACACTAGGTCCTTTTCTAGGGGCAATAACTCTGCCTGCAGTTCTTTTACCCGAGTTTGCATCCATGGATAGTTATATTCACCCTGTTTCAACAATTATACACTTTGAGCTTCCAAAGACTTAGTATAAGCCTTCATTAAGAAGAGAAAACACGATGCAGTAATGAGATACATTTTTATGCATGTTTCCTTGAACGCCAAAAGGAATGAACCGATGATGGAGATTGAAAATATAGACAAAACGACTCCTTAATTTCTTTACAACATTATTAGTGATCTCTAAATTAATAAAATGAACCGATGCATGAAGTTAATGTAATATGCGAGCAACCTAATACATTAGCTCAAAGTAAAGATTTAATGAAGCCTAAGCCTGAAGAGGAAAAGTGAATCAAATAGATATGCATGCTACTGAAACCGGATGACTTACAAAGTTTCAATAGCATAAAACCATTTAACACGTTCTCGACCACGTTAAGACATGTTATCTCAGTTTGAAGCACAAAAACAACCAACTGATAAGCCGGTATAATATCCGTTCATACACTATACTGTACACTATGCCAAAAACTAAGTTTTAAATACTAATAGATACATAGCCAGTAATTGTAGAAGTCAATACACATATCTATGTATAAAAGCACGCTGAAATCAATTTCTCAGACCTTATATACTAGGGAAAAAAACAATTTATAGTCTCTAAAGAGGAAATTTATGTACAAATTTACGATTAATTGTTCATGGTCGTCAAGAACATGACTATACAGTCTCTGAAGATGAGAAACAAAAACATTGTATAGTCCAAGGGAATAACTTCAAAATATTTCAGCCTCTTTGGCGGAAAGTTTTCTTTTTCTTTTTATTTACTAAGGAAAGAAAAGTTGTACTCTATCTTATTTGATTGTTTCACACTTTTTATTCATTAAGCAACACTTTTATCAGAATTAAGTCATCACAATTCACTCTCTTGAATAAGAAACAAACACACTGCACGCATCGAAATAAAAATAAATAATTATTATGAAATAGTTCACAAGAATGAAATTCACCCAAAAACATAATCAGGGTTGATCAAAGAATTAAAAACATATTGTTTTAAAGAAATTAAAAATAAAAAAACAGAATCCCATATCAAAGAAACTCCAGAATATTGACTGTCAACCAAGAAAATTCAAGAAGTCCATATACAGATTGATATTACAATCAACTAAACAACCCAGAAAATACGAATTAGTGAAGATACTGAAACTGATATGAATCAAGAATACCAAGAAAATCAAAGTTTTTGATCACAAAAAAAATAAAAATAAAATAAAGCTAAAGAATTAAAAACTTTCTTATTTCTTTTTTTCTTTTTACCTCGAAGAAAGTTCCAAGTACTACACAATACGAGAAGGGCCTTACTCCTTAACCTTTATTAGAGAGAGAAAGAGGAGAGAGAGAGCGTGCGTATGTGTTAATAAAGTGCAAACAAAACCATAAATTTCACAAACAAATGCTTAACAAATAACAAACTACAGCTGAATTGCCGTCCTGCCTGTTGTGTACAGTAGGTAGATTTCAACCGCTAGATATGTTTTTCCAGTTTGGACGGTGAGAGATTCAGGATTGTTGGGTTAGGCCCATATGTCATAGTCAGGCCCTGTTTAGTCCCTTAACCTACCTGCTGTTCGTGCAATGAACTAGAGAGAGTTGACTTGAAAGGCGGCCATTTAGATATGGATAAAATATGGCTTGAAAATTGAAAAAAAATTCATTTTTGTTAAAAGTTTGCAAAAGTAAATTTTTTTACTTGCACTTAAAGAAAAATTCGACAATTACAATTTATTTATATTTTCAACGTGCACGAAATTTTTGACAAATTTTAAATAAATTACAATAATTAAAACTTACACTGTATCATTTCCACTTAATCCTTTGAATATAATTTATATGTAATTTTTTTGACACTGTTCCCTTTTCGAAATTGTTGTGTTGATCATGTTACTGTAATTTATTGAAATTATAATTAAAGAATTGCATGATGTGCCACTGCAGAGAAATGAGGTTATTTGTCCCCACAACCTGAAAAAAACTTGGAACTCCAATAATGGAAAAAAAGCAAAATACCATATCCATGATGAATGTCTGGCCTTTGTCTATATTTTGTGGATTGGAACCAACTAATTTCAAGTGAAACACTTGGCCCCTCTTGACCCATTCAAGTACTTCCCCCTTTTTTTCTTATTATTTTTTAAATAAATATGTCACTATCTTACATGATTTGCACTAAAAAAAAAAATCATTTTCTAATTGAATTTGAGTAGGTTAATATTTGATGTTTCAAGGTATATATAATTAGGTCTCACTCATTTTCTTAATTAATGCATGGACCCCACACGACGAATTTTTATTCAGTTGGCTTGGTTTGACAAAAAAATATAATAACAATGCTAAATGTACATTAAAAGTTTGACATCATTCTTGACACTCCATTGTTTTCAAGATAAGTGTTGGCAGAAAAGTGTGTTTTTAAAACTATCCAATGTGATGTCGTCACGTAGTACAGTGTAAAGGATAATATAAAACTTACTGTATATGTAGCATGATTCACAATAGAAAGTTTAGTATGTCATCATAGGCAGCTTCACGTTAACATTCCATAATTTTAATTATTTTATCTTAAGCAAAACCAAACGACTTGTCTTTCCCAAGTAGACTAACCCATATCCCAAGTTGTGTCAAGCTAAAGTTGGGACGAATCATCAGTGGTGGACCTAGCACCCGACGAGTCTTGGCAGCCGCCCGTGCTGGATCCGTCGGTTTTTTTTTTTTTTTTGACAATGAAGAAACTTTTAAGCTTATATATATAGTAAGTTCTTTTCATTTTCATAAAATGCTTGTAGCTCAGCTGGCCATCCCTTGTATATTCAAGTGGGAGGTTCCCTTTTCGAATCCCCCTCCCAACAATTTTACTGTTGAATTCTTTTAATTCTACTATTTTCCCAAAATCCGAAAATATATTCTTGACCATTATTGCACCCATGCAATTTGAAACTAAAGTTTCCAGAATGCTATATATTATAATTTGGCAGTTTTAATGAAATTGTAAAAATTCAATGCTCTTCCTTTGAATTATACAAAACTTGACCACAATGTTATTTGGTCAATATTGCTAATTAATACAATAAAATTATATATGTTCAGTTTGAACAAAATAATTAATATATTTAAATTTTAGATCTTGTTTGATTTGTCCATTTTCAAAATACATTTTCTTTATTCTTTTTATGCAATTTTAAAATTTTGAACCTATGTTCTTCCTTTGAATTATACAAAACTTGGTCACAATAATATTTGGTGAATATTGTTAATTTTTACAACAAACTTATATATGTTCAGTTTGAACAAAATAATTGATATATTTAAATTTTAGACCTTGTTTGATTTCCATTTTTTTTTTCAAAATATATATTTATTTCTTCTTTTAACCGCACATTTTTCAATAAAATAATATTACATACAAATTCAAAATTTTTCCTTATTTTTAACCACACATTTTCATCATTCCAAAATACATTTTTTGCAAAAAGAAAGGGGCATCAAACGGGCTATTAATATTTTATTGTCAATAACGATCGACGATTCACGGCCGCCCGTGCTAACACAAAATCCTTGGTCCGTCACTGCGAACCACAGGACTAGATGACCCAATGCATAGAGAATTTACAGCTTAATATACAACGTATGCAAGAATCCGAGAATAAGTTTATTTTCAAGCAATTTTCAAGTAATGATAAAATGATTATCAAGTAGTGGTACAAAAGATACAATCATGATTGTCATTTATGAACAAATGGAAATTATTAGTTGTCACCATCTGATAAATAATTTATGTTCAATGAATAAAATTTTAAAAAAATCAAGTAGAATAATATATTATTTTGAATCTGAAAATAGATTTTTAAGGTGTTATAGCCTTATACAATTTTGCAATTTAACAAATTTCAAGAATTCATACATAACTCTTTGGGTCTCTGTTTTTTTACGCGCGTTTCCTTCTTTTACTATTACTAGTTATGGCAGTGCAATGCATGGCTTTTATTATTTTCAAGGTAATATTAGCGTTCAATATGAAGGATTAAAGAGAGATATACGCAAAGTTAGCAAAATGAG